TCATGTTTATCGTGCTGAAATCATGCGTTTTAAACCATATTAGTTTAAACTTCTGATATACGGTTTTCTGAGTGCTTATGTACAGAAAGCGGCTGTCACAGCATGTGAGTACTAAACTAAGTTTTCATTCACACACAAGTTTACGTTAAAAACACACAGGAGTTACAAAAACGTTCGGTTATGTCTGTGAAGGTAAACAGCTGGGAAATAAATCGCATGTTTATTTTAGATCTGTGTGGCAGCAGTAATATAAGTATATAATATAATATAATATACAGTAAATAAATCAATAAATGCACTGCTCTGTTGTCTCATCTGAGGCTGGGACTCTAAACAGTGTTCTGTGCTCGTCTGTGCAGCCAAACACAGAACAGTTAGCATGTTTTGCTCAAACTTTCGCCATGGCATTAGAGCTGGTACACCATTGTCGCTTGCGAAATCAAATGACGGCAGATTAAACGTACAGATTAAGGGGCGGTAATATTATTTGCTGTAAAGTTGCTTTGCAATGATTTGTATCGTGAAAAGCGCTGTACAAATAAACTTGAATTAAATTGAATGAATATTATAATAAGATCCCTTTGCCACGTCACTAGGGGAGCGAAATCAGACACGCTCGTTTTTTCAGACGCTTGCAGAAAAAGGAAACTTACTGGGTTAATCTTTTTTGAGTTTCCTTGGTTGGTAGATCCTGATTATAGCACTTAAAACCTGGAAAAGTCCGATTTTCATGATATGTCACCTTTAAGTTTTCAGCCAACTTTCAAGCCATTACTAAAACGACTCATCCTTAGAAAATTTCAGTCAAATTTTAAGAAAACGTGTTGTGTGTCTGTGTCTCATATGCTGTCTATGTTTAGCTGGTCTGTAGGGTTAGTTAAGTCTACTAGTACTATGTGAAGGGGTTGTTGTGTGACGGAGCTGCGAGAGGGAGGCGCACAGGAGGGAGGGATGGAGGAGGGGAGGAGAAAGACAGAATGGACAAAAGTTGAGTGGAGGAATGTGAGTTTGTCTGGAGGGGGAATAAAGGCGTCCTGATGGGAGAGGAGTTTTGGAGGCAAAAGGAAATTCTGATATAAAAATACGTGTCATGATTCCAAAAATAACACCGCTCTGGTTGGGCTTTTGGCGTTTCTACAGCCTACTTCACGTTCAGGATTATACTAAAAAGTTTTTGAGCTGAAAGAAGTGGGGAAAAAAGAATTTAAAAAAGAAGAAAGGAAGAATTAACTGCTTGTGCTGCTTTTGGAAACAGATTTCAGCAGATGACAATTTTGGAGACAACTTGACAAGCTGCTATTTTGAACCTGAGGGATTCGAGTTTCTCTTTTTTTTTTTTGCTACGGAATCTGTCTTTGCCCAAGAAGTGTCGCTCATCTGTGGAGAGTTGAAGCGCAGTCTGGAGCGATGCGATGATTATGCGATCTGTCACTGGTTCACACTCGACACCGACACCGAACCGGAGCGCCACAACACTGAACAACAGAATGAGCGGGTTGAACTTACTGACTCTGTTACTCATGATAGTGATGCGCCTCGGGGCCGCGGAGCTTCTGTCAGGTAAGAGATATACAGCGTCATTTCTAATCAAAACTTTTGTAATGCAGGGTATTGAAGTTTTCTGAGCATTCACCATAATTGAATATGGAGGTAAAATATAATCAGTGTTGTTTCAGGACATATAGTGGTCTTTTTAGACACTCTAGTTAACTTTTTAAAAATGTTTAAATGCCACTTTATTAGATAACAATTATCACTTTGCAAGCAAGTTATCACAGAATGAAGTTTCAAAAAATGCAAAAATGCTTATGTTTGAAATGATAGAACAATATATATAGTGTTAAAATGAAGATAAGTTTTGCTAAGGTAAAGACTACAGCTGTGGATGTTCTGCTGTGTGAACTTGAGGGGAACTTTTCATATTCACTAAAATGACCCTGTCTCCATCAATAAGTGTAAATAATTGTAATTCAGATAAATTAATATATTTTTGAGAAAAGAATTTGTGACTAAAGTGTCCAAAAACCTTCGGTCCACTGTACAAGCATTTTTTGAATCTTATTTATTATCAGTACATCTCATTTTGAGGCAGACAGTAACAAAAAAGACACTTGATGATGCCCCATGTCTCTTTTCATGCCACACCATCTTTGCTCTTCGGCTAGTGGAGGAGAACTGTGTGTGCTGTTACTTTTCAAAACAATGGGACTTACTGTTTTCACCTGACAGATGCAAAAAAAGCAAATCCTACACTGAAGGAGGGACCTGGGCTATATCTGGAGACAAGAATATCTTATTTTATCTTAGAAGAACACCCTAGCAATGCCCTAACAATAACATTGCAAGACCTTAGCAATCAACCAGAACACTCTAGTAACGGCATTGCATCATAACAGAGGCTTTTGCACAAGCAAGCAACGTTCATACTTTCCGTCTACATTGTCTTGCACAAGATAATGGCTTTAAGTGTTTACCATACACAAACTTACAGTCTTTACATTTGTCTGTGAGTGGCCCTTATGTGTGATGTCACGCTGAGTGAAGACTCTGAGGCGTGATGTGATGTCTGGCAGACTGGATACTTATCAGACTCTCACATCGAATCTCTCAGACTCTGAAGACGGGCAGCCTAAACACGCAACATGGATGCGGGGATTCAGAAAGAATGTGCCTCAGGGGCCATGCTGAATCAGACGGGGGAAATGATGGATTGAGTTTGGGCCAAAGGGATGGATGAGGGGATGAATTTAAAAAGAATGGAATAAAAAAGTCACGGCGGGGCTGAGATTGGTGGAGAAGTGAAAACAAAGGAGGAAAGGAAGAGTGATTTGTGTTAGTCTGGTGATAATGGTAATGATAATGGGGAGGGATGTTTGCAGGGCTGCTTTTCCTGCTTGTTAGTAGTTGTCGATTTTTACTGATGATTATTGACATTATAACATTTTACAACACCTTACAAAATAATGTTAAGGAGGACAGCCTGGTCTCATTTTTTTCGTAGGGATTACTAAATTACATATATAGGTACAAAATGTACATTTTTGTTCTTTGCATAGATGCTAAAATGTACAATATGGACCTATTGACAGCATCTAAAATGTAAACATTATTGCATATTTACAGCTAAAGAAACTTAAAATATTCTTCACAAATGTTTAATATTATAAAGATATTTGATAGATTCACTTTTACGATGTTATAGATACATTTTAGATCCCTTAACCCAGGGGTGTCAAACTCAGTTCCTGGAGAGTTTAGTTTAGCCCTGTAAAGTTTAGTTCCAATCCTGCTCCAACACACACACCATGTAGTTTTCAAATAAGCCTGAAGGACCTGATTAGTTGGATCAGGTGTGTCTAAACTAAACTCTGCAGGGCTCCGGCACTCCAGGAACTGAGTTTGACACCCCTACCTTAACCCTACTCCCAAACGTAAACATAACCACTTTATAGAGAACATAAAAAATAATATTCAATGGACAGAATGTAATGGACAGAAATATGTAGATCTGCAATGACAATTTTAGTAACAATATAGCATTGAAAGATATTTTGACATTTTTTGCTTATCCTACTCCTACCACTAAACCTAACCAAAACCATTTTTTAAAATATGTACAGTACAAAGAAAAACATGACAAGTGTAATCACAATACTTTATTTATTGTGAAAATCTCAGAAGCGGTACCAAAAGTAGTCCAAATGCCGATGTGTTGCAGTCGCGGTCCTCTCTGGCAGAACACAATAGTCTAGTGCAGTGGTTCCCAATCCTAACACACATACTCAGTCTACATTTCAATTTGCACATAATATACCTGTACATACAACTGTCTATTGTTATATACCTGTACATACAATTGTCGATTTGTATATTTTTTTATTCCTTATTTTACTTGTTCTATTTTTTATTTTTTATTTTTTTATTTTTTTTATTATCTGTGTTTTTTTGTTCTGTCACTGTCATTCTGTTACACTGTGGAAGCTTCTGTCACAAAAACAAATTCCTCGTATGTGTAAACATACCTGGCAATAAAGCTCATTCTGATTCTGATTCTGAGAACCCCAACACTGCACGTTTTTGACGTCTCTCTTATCTGACACACATTTGAGGTATTGGAGTCTTTACTAATCAGCTGATGAGTTGAATCGGGTGTGTTTGATTAGGGAGACATCTAAAAAGTGCAGGATTGGGAACCACTGGTCTAGTGTGAGGAACAGAGCAGAATTTAGATCGTTAATCGCTGAAAATATTATCCTGATCCACTCGGTGCAGGTGCGCATTTCTCATTCAAACAGCCGTCACTGCAATAAAACCTGTCGTAAAGCTTCTCGAGGCGGCAGGTTTTGGTCCCTTACAGTCGCTGCTGAGGACGGACGGAGATGAAGATCACTGAATAGTGCCTTAATTTGTCCTCAAAATTGTATGGATTCTGAACATTACAGAAATGTTATTCATTTTAAGGTTTTAAAGTGTATGCTTGTTCAACAATCTATAAAAATGTTAATTCCAAGATTTTAATATATATAAATAAGGATTTGTACACATTTGTAAATATGCAAAGTTCATACATAAAAATAATAATTAATATGAATAATATTTTTTTAAATCTGCCAATACGCCAGTAGTGCATGTTTCAGTGTACTGTATGCAAATGTAAGTAAATGTACATTTAAGAACAGCACCTTATGTAAAATACATTCAAATTTCTTGCTTATTTATTGCAAATAAAAAAAGTCATATAGAGGCCACCTTTCACAAGACAATCAGTTCTTGCTGGATAGTTTCTTCTTGTTGAATGCAAAGTTTCAAATTACGAGAGTAAAATGGATTTGAAGCAGCATTTTATGTTGACTTTAAACACTCAGATTCAATGAAGGCTGCAGAGAAAGACAGTTCAGGTCAGAGTTGACTGCCCACTTTCAGGCCATCATAAAAGGAAAAAATGTTTAAAAGAACTAGTGAAGCTAAAAGCCGCTGTAGCAAAGTAAAGGAAAAAAAACTAACCATGACAGGAGGATTTAGTGGGCCTCATTTTAAATATCAACTTGGGACCCGCGTCTCTGCATATGTGTGTATGTGTGTGTTCTCCTAAACCTTCCCTGAAAGACTGACAGTGTCCACATGTTGTTCATCCCATTCATATCTGAACACATTTCGGATGGACTGAAAGGAATGTTAAACTCTTGAAAAAACTTCCTGTAGCTTAAACCTCTAAGTGTATTTGTTAAGTGTGCACCTGAATGCGAATAATGTTTTTTATGAGCCATTTTCAAAAAGTCAGTCTGATTTCTTGTTGATAAAGCACATATATGAGAGACAGTTGTGTTAATAAGTGTTTTAGATGTCATGTCACACTGGATGAAACAATCTTCATGGGGTCAAAGGTTAAGGGTCAGGGCAGTGTCTGACAGCCTTGAGAAAATCCTAAACTGGAGTTATTAAACGGGAAGGAATTCGGAATGAGTTGCATCATCCATAGCGAACCTACACGGAACTGGCCTAATGCTGGATTACACGCCTCTGGTATCTCTCCGGCTTCAGCTGCAGAGCTTGTTATCGACTCCATGCTGACAGAGGAATGTAAAACATTTCAGTTCTTCAGGCAGATGGAGATGCATGGAGCCGATCGACCGTCCTGCGGTTGTATCCGCATCCTAAAAATCCATGCGAGGGAGGGTTGGTTGTGTTTTTGAAAACATCCCCTACAAAATCAGTTCACAAAGCGTCACCACCCCAGTGGCATTGAAAAGGAGGTTTGACTGATAAGTTCATGTGATGTTTACTCGTACTGAGAGACAAGGGAGCAAAAACTCACTTAGACTTAAACGGAAGAGCCCAGACTTTGGGGTGGACCACTAAGAAGCATGGTGCTTCTCAACCCAGCTCCTGGAGGGTCCCATCATGCCTGGTTCAGCTCATCAGCTCATTGGTGAGACCATATGTGTCAGATAAGGACCAGGGTTGGTAACCACTGATTTAGAGCTGATCTAGTTTTATAAAGGCATGAATCTTCAGAAACGATGTGGAAACCCTCCAATATGATGACCAGCTCTTCAAACTACAGCAAACGACATGCCATTAACACAAAAAAAAACATGTAAAGGCCTTGGCATGGCAATTATTCAGCACCAAAGATGATACATAATACACATTTGTTTAATTCATCTGCTCTTCAAAACAAACACAGGTTATGGAAGCTTAAGTGATAAACTCAACTTTACCTTTGACTTAATGGTTTTTCCACGATTTTCCTGCACTGTGTAGGTTTGCGTTTCATGGAGAGCCCTAAGAACGTGACCTCCTCTCTTGGGAAGCCAGTGGCTGTTCAGTGCATCCTGCGAGTGGACGGCGAGGGCCAGGGGCCCCTGGATGTGCTCTGGCTGAAGGAGGGACAGCCGCTGGAGTTTGCCGACACCAACCAGATGCAGCTCCCCGTAGATGAGAACAGCTGGCTGGTTTTTAGTGAACTCAAGTAGGAATACCTGTTTAATGAGGACATTTACACTGCCTCTCCATTGAACTGTTCTTTCAGTTTCCTCTGTCCATGATCAGTGTTGCAGAAACTTATTAACGTATTCTCCTTCTGCGTACAGGATAGAGGAGGTACAGCTCTCAGATATGGGCGCCTATCAGTGTGCGGTTTCATCTGGTGAAGAGGAGGCATTTTCCATGGAGGGATACATCCAACTAGAGGGTATTTCACTTTTTGAATGTCTTAAAATCCATTGTTGCAAAATTCAAATTAATATCGTAAATTGATTTCCTGATTGCTGACTGGGAGGCTGGGTTGGGTTGAGACTATAACAGTAGACTCCTCTTTAGTGCATTAATGATATATTTATGGATTCCCTAACTGTCTTTCTCTCTCCCCCAGGTCTCCCTCATTTCTCGGTAGACCCGCAGCATTTGTCAGTCGTGGCTAACACAGAGCTGAGTCTGCGCTGTGTGGCTCATGGTCCTCCTGATCCGGTGCGGGTCATCTGGCTTCAGGACGGGGCTCCTCTCAATAACCTGAATGACCCGATATCCCTGTCGCCCTCAACCCTCAACATCTCAGGTACTGACCTCACTCTACATGACTCTACACTGTTGTTGTTTTTATCAGCATTTACAAATACCTTGTATTGCCATATTTCATCTTTTTTTTTGCTCACCCTTTACATTTTTCTGTGAGTTTTACAATTATTTAACCAATAAATAGTATTGTGTTTGAATAAGTTCAGTGTTTCCTTTACTGAAAAAACACTGTCTTTAAAGACTAATGTTTTATGCATCTGAGGAGTGGAGAAGAGCGTTTCACCATAAACTTTGAAGAGATACCATATTCTGTGTAACCTGTAATGAGATGCACTTACTGCCACAAATACAGCTGTACTAATGACGGACAAAACATATGGACATACAAGGTTTCAGCCCGACAGTGACGACCTCTAACCATTCCACATAATAGCTCACTTCAGTACTAAATAAAGGTGCAGTAAGGCCATACAGTATAATTATTTGCAGCTACTATTTGTGGTGTTTGCTATTGTAATCAGTACTACTGCTATACTGCTCAAAAAGAGGGGTTTGTTCACATCACTTAAATGTGAAGTGAATATTTATATTTAGAAACCAGGGGCCTGTTTTATAAACTGCTTAGACTAATATTACAAGTTAGTCATCTCAATTTTTTCTTTAAGACGTTTTCTTCACGACTGGTTACACACACACACACACACACACACACACAGACTCTCTGCAGCAGGCGGACTGTCTGGAAGTTTTCCAAACGGGATTCATCCTTCGAGACGCTGGCCTTTGCTTACTAGTGATAGAGCAGCAGGAGATGAGAGGAAGGCCGAACAGGAAGAAAGAGTGGAAGAAAAAAATGAGGAGGAGGAAGAGGAGGAAGCCTTTGAAAACCTGCCACAGCAGAGTGCCACATACAGCCTGTGTTGTTGTTCCAGCTGTACTGAGCTGAAGAGAGAGATAGAGGCTTTGACTCATCGTGGATAACTGACCATTAGTGGTGGATTCACATCTTTGGAATGAGACACTTCTGCTTGCACACACACTCACACACACTCACACACACACACACACAAACACACACACACTGACTCACACTCATTCAAGAATTTCTTAAACTAAAATGGCAGTTCTTTCCATCCATAGCATTCCTTCTGCCTCTGCAGCAGCCTCACACACACACACACACACACATACCGGCCGTCACAGGGAGAATGTTAAACACTCTGTAAAGCATTCAGTGCTGTTTGCTAGGGCAAGCATCACTATTATTGTTGCTTATACTTATGGTCAGGGGTTTGATTTAAAAAAAAAAGTATTTAATTTTACTTTTTAATTTTTTGTTTTGTTTACTTTTTCCAGATAAAAACACAAAAAACACAAATCACCGTAATGATCACATAGCAAACACCCACAATACATCATGGCCACAACCTTTGCACAGGCACTCTAGTAATATTATTTGGGAAATGTATCAAGCTGTGAGGTTCTTTCAGTGTTGTATTATATGGCAAAAGAACGTTTAGTTGAGCAATGAATGGATTTACACTCTGAAAAGAATTTATCTATGCTGATCTATGCTGATGACAGATTGTGTTTTTAGGGAAGGAAATAGAATGAGATGAAACTAAATGTGGCTTGTGTTGAACTCTCTCTCTCTCACACACACACACACACACACACACACACACAGCACTCAGGCCTTGTCCATCAGAATTTGATCTGGTGACCCTTGATTTTGAACTGTTATGGCCTTTTAACAATGGACACACAGTGTTCCTCAATGACACACATGAGTTATTTTCACTGAGAGTGTGAAGAATGCTGTGTGTGAGAAAGAGAGCCTTCATTTGACATGTTTCTGTGAATGTCAGCATGTGCAGTGTGTGTGTGTGTGTGTGTGTGTGTGTGTGTGTCTTCAGTGTTTTCCTGAAAGCAGAAGTAGCTCTTTCCAAATCAGCTCTTTTTAATCCACAAACAGATTCTGAAACTCAAACACAACCCAACACAAGTTTGCAGTTTTTGGGGGATTTTTGGTTCTGGTTTTCTCAACCATGGTGTTTTGCTCCTCAACAGGTTTGAATAAAACCAGCTCTTTCTCCTGTGAAGCTCACAATCGTAAAGGTGTGGCGTCGTCTGGCACAGGTGTTGTGACCGGTGAGTGAGAGTGTTCAAGGCCCTGTTTACAAGACATTGACTCACGTGGGTCTACACCTCATGCTTGTTTTCAGTGCACTATAGTCTTTGACGCTGTAATAAGCATAAACACACACATATATATATATATATATATACACACATACATAGTCAAGTCACCTTTATTTATATAGCGCTTTATACAATGCAGATCGTGTCAAAGCAGCTTTACAGTGTCAAACAGGAAAAACGTGTGCTGATAATGCAAGAAGACAATAAATAACAGTCAGTTTATCAGTTAAAGTCAGTTCATTGTTGATTCAGCGATGTCATTGTCCAGCTATATATCAATAATAAATATTGATTGAATTAGTGCTTTTTTAATCAGATAATTGTATGTATACTGATATTAATAGTCACTGTTTCTCTGTGATATTTTGTAGCAATATATGCAGGATTGGCTTTTCCATGAGGCATGTGTGTGATGCTGCTTTAGAATTTGGTCAAATCAGGCTGTGCACGTACAGTATACTTTGGGGTTTAGTGCACAGTTTGGATTTAATGCTCATAGACGATTTTTTGAACTAGTTACATTATTTTTTAAATGTGGCCAGTATCAGATACCAGTGTGAAAAGGTCATGGTCCTGAACAGTGATAAAGATGGCACGCAGCACTCTGTCATAAGGACTTAAACACAGACAATTCTTGAGCAGATGAGGATGAGTGGAAAGAGATCAAAAACTGTAATTATTTAGGATTCGACCACTCAAGTTCTGCTCGTATAGACCTGTCACTGTAATAACGGCTCACTGTCCCTCCACCGTCTCGAATCAAACAGATCAGGTTCCTTGTGGATTGTGCAATCTCATATGAGATAAAAAAAAATCTGATCTTTTGCTGCAGTCTGAATGTAGCCAAAGTGTGGAAACACAAATAGATTTGAGCTGTTTTTGTCAATCAATGTTTTATGTAAAAACAGTACTTTTTATCTTTTTGTCTAGTTCTTCCTTCCCAGCCCCATGACATTAAAGCTGAAGAAATCACTAATTCAAGTATCCGTCTGTCTTGGCACATGGGCTTTGGAGGAATTTATCCCATCAGCCACTGCATTGTTCAGGTACCTGAAAAAAAAAACAATCTTTCAATAGATCAATATCAGAATGAGTGATTGTGTCAATATGTGTGTGTTTGTTTGTATCATTTGACTTTGAAAAGCTTGTGACGTGTCTGTTTTGTGAGTCAGAACCCTTTCCCTACACACACATGCTGCTTAATCATGCTGTGGAGTATCACATTTCACACATCAAGAGAGGCCCGTTCCACTCACTACTGAGGCCCAGTTCCCCATGTTCTGGGGCCCTGTTAGGACGAGTGTGTGTGTGTGTGTGTGTGTGTGTGTCATACACTCCCCTTCGCCTGAGCACCACCCCAAAGTGCCTGGTTCTAATAAAAACAGGCCTCTTGTGTCTGATCCCGCACCCCTCCTCTGTTCCTCAGCTCCACACAACCCAACGGTCCAAACTGAGACTAAACACAGTCCTGAAGGAACTGACGGATAATAAAAGAGGAAGAGAGAGAACAAAGCAAGAACCAGAAAATGTTAACAGAACTCATCTGACATATGAAAAAGAAAGAAAGAAAGAAAGAAAGCATTGCAAATCTATTAAAGTTTAATTTAAAAGTATATATATAATATATATTTGGTATTTTTGCTAGGGGTGGGAAGAATAATGTATTAATTTCTGCAATTAATATTTGTTGTGTAATGCTTCAAAATGAATTAACGTCATTGATGTCTTTTCCCCTAATCCGTTGGCTAGCGTTACAGTAAATGATCACACTCTCTGAACTGACATAGTTGCTGACTGTTAATAAATGATAAATGAAAGCAATCATACAATTTGCAGTTTAGCCCCGGCATTCAGTTATAAAATATATATTTAAGAAACATGCATCTAATTTTCCTCTTTCCAACAGTTGGTTTAGTCCTGAACTGAAGTAAAGGATCTAGAAGGAGCTGAGACATCTGTCAGCTCAAATCCAGAAATGCTTCAGGTCATTGTGAATGCAGAGATAAGAGACAGAGATAAACTGACCCCTCGTAGGGGAATTCAGCAGCGCTGTGAGTCAGTGACCAGCGGCTCCGTTCACTCTGTTTACTGACTCACGTGTGACTCCTCACTCCAGAATGAATCCCTTCACCATTATCAGGAAGAGCAACTTCTCCCTTCAGCTTTGAGCGTTATGACACATCTGCTCTTTCTCACCGCAGCACTGAGCCATTCATGAGTCAGTTCTTTCATTCACCCGGTCACACTACATTAGGATAAACATTATAACTATGTGTGTACAGACGTTTGAAGTTTGTGTTGACGGGAGTTTTTTTAGTGCTGCCTGAGGGAATGTGAGGAAAACAGAAAAGAGGAGACACGTGTGTCTAGTCGTAAATGTCTTGTAGTGTCTACATACATTTATAAATCATATATTACAATTCCCCACCTCTGTTATTTTATTCAATTTGCTTACTGTAAAGTGAAAAAAAATTAATTATGGTGTACTGTACAATAATGAAAACTGATGTACAGTATACTTACAATTATACTTTTCATTTGAAAATATATACTATTGTTTGTTTTTCACTTTACATTAATGAGAATTGAGAAGCAAGATAACTTATGCCAGAATTATTTATTTAGCATTGTTTAAAGGAATGATATTTTTATTCTTAATTTGACCCTAGACATTTCTAGAGAGTTTCTCTGAGATTTACACTTTGTATTTGGTCGTTTGTTGTTTTATTTCTGGCTTAAACTTGTGTGCAACTTGAATTCTATGGAGTTTTCGTAATCATTTTCAGTCACGCCAATAAAACATTTGTTCGTTTATAAAGGCAACTCTTTCTTTCCTCTCTGTAGATTTTTACTGTAATTCCTACAGCCGAGAATGATTTGAAGCAGTATAACTGTGTGTAGGTGATTTGTTTTCTGCCAGCGTTTGATGTTTGTTGCATCGGCAGCATGTTTCTGGTGCTGAGCGAGCTGTTTGCATGTGTCCTGCTGTATGTGTGTGTGTGTGCGCGTGCGTGGGTGTGTGTGTGTGTGTGTGTGCGTGTGTGTGGTTATGAAGCGTGTGCCAAAGATCAGCTCAGGAAGACTGCAGACTACATGCTTGTGTGTTTATGTATTAAGGAATATTCTGGGTTCAGTATAACTTACGTGAGAAGGGTGACTTTTTTTCTCATGTCACACATGTAAACCTGGTAACTTACCAACAAGAAATGTGACATAAATATTTGTTTACACATAAACTTGTAAGTCCTATTTAATCCTGAATATCCCTGTGTTTACTCTAGCACAGGATCCTGGGGAAAGGGGAAGTGATAGAAGTCGCTTCTTCTTTGTCCTGAACAGAAAGTGAATGTCACTCATTTCACTCAAGTTATCAGTGGTCTTTCCCTGTGTGTCCAAACACCAAACATGACTTCTTCTTGCCTCATTTCTTAAAATAATTTTCCATAGAAACAAGATGTCCATTCAATATACTAATTGTTTGATGAGTGAGATTTGTTGAAGTGTAAATTGAAGAAGACTTTCACTATTTTAAAATTTTGCAAATAATGAAAGGGTTTGATCGTTTAAAAATATGTTCCGCGAGGCCCATAGGAGATCGTCATCCCTGTTATAGATGTCACTAGGAAATGCTAAGAAACCACTAAAACCCATGTAATGATTTTGTTCAAATACAATATCTTTCAGGTCAAAGCGTCTGGTGAAGACGCTGATCAGGTCATCTCCAGTCAGACGGTCAGTGCACCCGACACCAGCCGTCTGATCTCAGATCTGGAGGCCTTCAGCCAGTATGATCTCAGAATGGCCTGCCGGAGCAGTCAGGGCGTCTCGAGCTGGACGGCCTGGATGAGCGTCAGCACCAGTGAAGGAGGTAAGCACATGCCCACACCGATCCTCATTCTCACAGAGACCGTAGGAACATGCTGGACTCATGTTGGGCTGGTAACAGTGTTACAGTCCTCACTGAAGTGTGTTTACAGTAGATAGATGTGTGAGGTATGTCTCTGCTAAACACTGGACGACATGGAAACTGTCAGCACAGAACGACCAGGGAAGCAGAAACACAGATCTATGGTGTTCACACATCTATCAGATGGTGATGCACGTTAGGGATGGGAACTGACAGCAAGGAGCAATCAGGAAAACACTTAAATGACCAAAATGCCCTTTCCTAATGCACACTTCAGCCTGAAGAGCTGCTGGTTATTGTGAGGCATTCAGGCCGGTCTGTAGGTTTGAGTGTGTGTCTGCTGCTCTGTGCTGTGAGTGTGTGTCTTCTGTAAAGGTTCTGGTCTGGCTGTGTTCACATCAGCGCTGCTTGTCTGTCAGGCAGGACAGGACTGGAGCCAGATTACAGCTGAAGGAGTGTTTGTAGGAGAGATTGAGGTGGGTGTTGGGTACTTTCCATAAACTGGCATTATGAAATGTCTCTTAGAAACAAACGGCTGTGAGCGGAGCTTTAACACACAGACAGACAGATGGCATGTGACCGCGAGCACAAGAAGAATCTGAAGCTCCATGTAAATACAAAATGTTATTCCTTTAAAGGTTATTTCTTAGTGATTGCTTCTTCACAGCTTCACTCTTCATTTATTCATTTAATCTAGACTCTTTCACTTGAAGGGGAAACATTCCAATTTTTAGTGTTACAATACATCCCAGCTTAAAACATAGATTCAACAGTAATTAACCAATCCTACGTTGATTCGTTTGTAAAGTGTAAACAGTTTGACTTTGTAGCACTATCACAACATTGATCTGCATGTCTGATCATCCTGACCAGCCCGACACAGTAACATCTGCTCACTGGAGTGACTTTTACCTGACTAATGACACACAGGGAGTCTTTCAAAGCAGTAATTTTCCATGCAGTACCATTTAGTAACACTACTGGAAATATTTAAGATCTGTCTGAATTGGAACTGGACTGAATCAACACTGAACTGACTAAAGCTGAATAACTATATTGCTGCCTATAGCCTATAGCTGATCGATTAACTTCACACTGAAATTGATTTGAACTGACTTGAGCTGAATAATGACACTCTTGTCTTTTAGAGCTGCTTTACAGCAGAATTACAGTCTCCATAGTTGAGTTTCCATCAATGATTCTGCTATGTTCCTGTTTATCTCTGTGAAGCTGCTTTGACACAATCTGTATTGTATAAATCTGTATTTGACTTGCTTAATAATAAACATCCTTTCTGATGTATTGCACACATTCGTTTGCTGTTGCACTGAAACGTTCCAACTCCACTCCAGGTTTTCCATTTCTCGCTCATCCAAGGCAACACACACTGAGCTCCTGGCTCTCAGTGCTCACATGTGCACTAGAATACGAGGAGTGAGACAAACATTGTGCATATTGGTGCACTTATTCAAATGATGGAGGTGAAATGGGTTTGGAATCTCATCTTACTCAAGTAGTTTTTTTGGACAAGTACTTTTACTCTACTCGCACTACATTTTTTGGAAGGTAATGGTACTTTTACTTGAGTATATTTTTTCAGTACTCTTTCCACCACTGTTCATGATGTCTTTAAAAAGGTTTAGTTTGTGATTCTCTTTCCCTGTGTGTTCTGCTTAACTGGATTTCGTTTTTTCCTCTTTTCAATCTCCAATTAATAATTTTTGTGTGGGACGGGCGAGACACAGGAAAGATGTGAGTGAAGGAGACATTTCAGATTTTCCAGGAGAGGGTTTTGTTGGACAGTGACAGTGTTTGGCTGTACTGGGCTGTGTGTGTTTATATGTGTGTGTGTGTGTGTGTGAGTGTATATGTGTGTGTGTGTGTGTGTGTGTGTGTATGTGTGTGTGTGTGAGTGTATGTGTGTGTGTGAGTGTATGTGAGTGTGTGTGTGTGAGTGTATGTGAGTGTGTGTGTGAGTGTGTGGGTGTGTGTGTGTGTGTGTGTGTGTGTGAGTGTGAGT